AGAGGAAAAAAGAGGAGAAAAAAAAAAAAAAAAAAAAAAAAAAGAGGAAAACCAGGATAGATAGCAGGGAAAACACAATTTTAAAAGCTTAATGCTAAGTTTCTGATCGAAAATGACCACATCTGGGCTTTTTGAAATGAGCATTTAATCAAGCCCTAGGGTTTGGCACAAAATAAATTTTGAAGTATGATAAGTGACATCTATTTTTCAAAGGCTAATTAGCTAGTCTACTTATTTTAAATGTAGCTATATTTCCTAATTACTAAGGATAATTCAATTTCACTACTCCTTTGAAGACATGCTGTCATTAAATGTGTCTTTTTTTCCTTCTGTTGTTATTGTTATTATTACTATTGCTACTGTAGCATACAGAAAGTTTCCAGCTTTCTGAAATGTTTTTGAGAAACAAAAGTAGCAATCACAGAAAAAAAAAAAAATAAAATAAAATTAAGAGATCACATGTAGGGCTCAAATTCTGAAAACTAGCCATCCTTTGTCCAGGCAAATGATTTGTCCCATCCTGTTTGGTGTATGCAGCCAGTCAAGCACCAGCACACTTTACAATTTGACGCGTGGTGATGACACAGTCCGACCACTTAGCTCACAGGGTACTACTGATGGTATGGAGAGTTGCTAATGTTTCCTCTCGTCTCCACAGCTCAACCAAATGTAAGCTTACTGCCATCTCAGTTTTAAGGATTAATGGTTTCAGCACCTCACTAGTAATGTGAGAGAAAATGCTTTGAAGCCCCCTGCACACTTCCATCCCCTGAGCTTCTATCAGGCTCATTTTTCCCAACACTTCATACACTTTGTCATGATACAAGTAGAAAAAGCTGACTGCTATTTTATTAATACATAAAGGCTAGAAAACAGGTCTGATCACCTAGTCTATGGACATATTTTGAAGGATATTAAATTAAAATGAATGGACTTCCACAATGCTGCCGCTTTCTTAGTGTCTCCAAGGGCTGTCTGCAGAGCAGCTGGACTTTGCACTTTGGGTCTGATCGTCTACAGCACGACATACACTATGCACATGTGTAGGGGTTTTTTATGCTTTTCCAAAGACACTGAATAACCAACCCCTGTAGCAGCTTGTGGGACTGATAAAAGCATACACCTACGTTCTTCCTAGTTTTCATTTTCCACAGACACTCTGCTGACAATCCTTGGAGAAAAAAAAGCAGCCTGAATCAGAAGTAAAACACTCCAAATCCTAAGCCAAACAAATAAAAGTCTCTTTCTTCACAGCCTGGCTGCTGTCATCTGACGTTTCTGGCAACAGGAGGTTATTTTACCATCAAGAAACTAGAAGCTCTGGTAAGCACACAACACAGCGGTTACTTACTGTGAATTCTCCAGTGACGGCATCAAATCCCACATGAATGGTATGTTCAAAGTCTGAAGGAAGAGAGATCTCAGGACGTTCTTTCTCTTTCTTCTTGTTGGCTAGAGGCAAAATGTTAACACGCACTTATTTTCTGCACAGCTTCTCATTCAAAAATTTTCACAATCAGGTGTGCTCAAAATAGTATCTTAAAAGTGGAAAACAAATCAATTAATGTCCATCTTATTTGACAAACAGCCCCAAGCTAATACAACACCAGCCTGTCAACCCCTGTTTGGGAAGGTCTAGAAGGTGTTATTTCATTTTGTTTTTCTTCCAATCAGTGTCACAGCGGCCAAAGCAAGCTGTCCATGAAGTGGCCTTCTTAGGCTATCTCTAACCAGTATGATTTCTATTATCAGTTCTTTTTTCATCAAGTTTTCATATCTAGCAACAAACTCCTGTTTGTCTTTGCTCTGTAGGTTCCTGCAGAAGTAAAGCACCCAGGACACACATGTGCTTGCCTGTTTGCATGTGTGTCTTTTCTCCAACATGGTTTGAACCTGTTGTCAAACTCAGTCAAATTAGAGAGGAGAGGGGGTTTTTAAGAGAACCAGGTTCCTACAAGTTCTGTGAAAACAGGCAGCTCCAGAGAAGACAAACATCCTATTCCTGCTTCCTCTCTGAGTAAAAGGCCAAAGCAGCAGCTCTGTATTAGAAACCACAGAATCTGCACAGCAACAAGATCCCATAAATGCCACTGGAAAAGCTTCATTTAAGCTCTCAATTAACTAAGACATATAACCATAAAACTCAGGGTTTATTAGTCTTCAGGAATTCCTTGTTCTTAAATCACTCCATCAGTATTCACAGAGTGTGGAGTATCTTATTGAAGGAAATAGACTTGGAAGTCAGTCAATCTGCATATGTTTCTAATCTCCCTCCTGTTTTAACACCTTTCGAAAGTAACATCCCTTGTGGTCATCCATCTCCTGTGCTCTTTACCATTGACAAATCTCTCTTCAGCCCAGTTTTATTGACCCTGATAAAGAATGAGCACAATAAAGGCTGAGAAGCTGCCTTCGCTCTGACGCATCAAGAATCCATGTTCAACAGAGATTTTCTCTGAAAAATGGTGACAATAATGCAGTTCTGGACGACTCCCAAACACCCAGATAAACATAGCACAAACCCACGTTCAAACATCTATCCTGCTGGCAGGTACCTGAAATATTTGTCTTCCCTGGAGAACCAGTGTGCTCCAAGACTTAACTACCATCTGGTTGAATAATACAGTACAGAGCTATCTGTAGGATCTTCTCTACTACCAGTAGTATATCTGTAACAGCCCAGAGGGAAACTGCCATTCTACGAAATACATTTGTCATTTCAGTGAAAAAATTATATGCTAACGACTGGAACAGAACAAATATTACAGTGCCCACTTGCAGTATGCCAGAGTTATTAACACAAACTCAGGAAATAAGATACGCATAAAGCACTCGTGTAGAATACAAAAAAAGTCACATCATCTCACATCTTTAAAGAAAGTACTCTGCACCCCAGGGTCCCACCTCTCCTGTGCTGCCCTTCTTACCAGTTTAATGCATGTCTGGTTTACATTATCCTCATCGTGGTCCTGAGCAGGTTTGCTCTATAGATCTGATGTGACATGACTTCACGCTAACACTTGTGAGAAATCCAGAGATATAAAGGAGGTTTATATTGTGCCTATCACAATGGGACTCTGTATCAGGATCTCTAAAGGCCAGTGTATCACCATTTATTAATGATAATATGAAAATGAATACACATGCCATAGTTACATATCAGCAGGAGAGAACGGAGCAGTTGTTCAGGTCCCGACTTTGCCTTCCATGTTCCCTCAGTGCAGAGCCAGTGACAGCCATGCTATGCTCACCAAGAACAGCTGGATGAAGGCAATTTTGTGTGTGTCTGATTTCAAAAGCAAGTGTCTCCTCCTACCAATATCAACCAGGATGAAGCTTTGCTAAATCTACTTTCCGGCACATCAGCCTTCTAACATAAAGTACTACAATGCTTATGGACTTTTAATTAACATTTTCCTTCGGTGTTTTAGTATTATGTTCGCGAGCTTCATAAGTTTATCTGGGGGTTTCAGCCAAAGGCTGAACTCACTATCTGTCAGCACCCCTCCCAGCCTGGGACTGTCTTTGCTCACAGATAGTAACTCCACAAGTCCTCTCTTTACACAGCTTCCTTATTCTACCTTACAGCCTCCTTTAGTTGAGAGATGCTCTGCTCTTTATAATTATAGTCCAGAGTATTTTGGATGTTTCTAATTCTTTCTCTGCATTGTTGCATTTATCCTCATTAAATAATTAACTGTCACCTTTTGTTTGTACTGCACACCCCTACACAATGTTAATTGATGAATTATTTTCATTTAGCATTCAGAAAAGATGGCAGCAATATATCAAATACAAATGCAAAGGCTTTTCCCCTTCTTTTATCTCTAAGATGATGATGTTTAATTTTCAGGATACATGTTGCCAGTTACAAGGTGTCATCTCCGTTCAGCATATATAACTTTCTATTGTAGATAACAAAACTGGCTTCTCCTACCTCATCATTTGCAAGCAAATGCAGTGAAAATTAGATTTAAAGGATCATCAAATTCAGTTCAAAGCAGCAGTCAAATCTAGATGTGAAGTATGGCATTACAGAATATGTCCCATCAAAAACAGCACTTGTCCATTCTAGGCCTCTCCTGCTGGGGGAAAAGAATTCCAGCTCATTCCCCAAGATTTGGCCCACCTGCTTCATGGATCTCTGCCTACCAGACTCTGGATATAACACTTACGGTCCAGACGCTGACAAACTAGAAATTAAATACAGCATTAAACATCTCCTTGCAACACCCTCACTCCTCCCCAGTCCAAAAACTTCTGACACTTCTGTCTGTGCCCTGCAACTGAAGTCGCTTCTATTTTACATAAGCTGGCAAAATGATGCCAAAAGGCATGACGACTTTGAAGCAATGACTGACTGGCCTCAAGGGTTTTATACTGGACATTCCTACTTGATTTTCTTCTAAGTGCCCCTAACAATACACTGCTGCTGCACAGCAGTTAGTCATGAGGGCCACCCATACCACCTCAGCAACTATTACAGATTAAAAGAGAACAAGCAAAGAGTGTTCTGTCTTCCACAGGCTGCATCATCATTATTATGTTAAAAGAGCAGTTGTTTGGGAGAAAAATGTGACTCAGCTAAGTGGCAGTGCTTCTCCAGAAAGGGAGGAAGGGTTTGACCTCACGCTTATGCCCTCCTGTTTGCTCGCCTCCTCATCATCTCACTCTGTTCCTTCCTCCATCCCCTCTCCCTTCCACACTCACTCAGGCTGTCCTCCCATTCTCCTTCCTGCTCTGCTCCTCCTGTCCCACCCCAGCAGCCTTGTCCTTTTCTTTCTCCTCCATTAATCTTAACCTCGCTGGGTTTTTCTCCTTCCTTCTCTTCTTGTTTTTCTGTACAGGAGGCAACCAGATGACTAAAGGTCAGACTCTGCTCCCACCCGCAGCTAAGTCTAAAGCAGCTTCAGTGGAAGTGGTATTATTCACCCAGTAATCTTAACACAAATACCTCTTCAGCTGAAAGGGGCATCTGAGCTGTGGTGGGCCGGCTCCCCTCTCATTTCTTTAGTTTGAATGCTCTACAGCACCTTCGTGGAGCCACCAGTTCATGCACAGTATTAATTTCTTTCATAGCACAGCAATTACAGGTGGTTTAATGAATGAAGAACAAGGCTGTATCAAACACCCAGAAGAACACAAGTTTTTCTGCTCTCAGTTCTCCTGAGGTAATTGCACTCTGCTGAAAGGAAACACTAATGCTATGAACTCCACCATGGCTCCCATCACCATCATCACCTCTGAGGAAGGAAGGCCAATTTCACAGCTTCAGCACGGGCTACAGGGGAACAGGTTCAGCTCCTTGTTCCACAAAGATTGCCCACGTGACACTGGAAATGTATTTCACTTGTCTGCCTCGGCTTCCTGCCCCCAGGAAATGGGGGACCCCAGAGACCAGGGCAAGAGGAGCTACACCAAGGAAGATAAGGAGGTCAGAAGCTATGGGAAGGAGCAGGACACTAATGCCTAAGCGACTTGTTTCAACTGCAGAAGCACAGAGGGGCCCCACAGAACCATCGGTGGCTTGCCAAAACAAGGTTTTAAACACAGCAGTGCTCAAACCCTAACTGAAAACACTACAGTCCAACAGGGGAGTGACTGCGAAAGATTCCTGGTCCCCGAGCACAACAGTCCCAGCACACATCATTGCCTTGGAGAGAAAGCACCGAAGCATATCCATCCGGGCATCCCTCCTGTCTGGTGAGCAAATGAAAGACAACAAAGTTCCTGCAGGTTCAGGCAGAAACACTCCGCCATGGTGTTTTCTTCACGTTCTCTTTACTAGTACCAGCAGTGGACTATTAATACAAAGTTGTGGTGCTGCAAAGCACTGCATTAGATGAGAGCAGCAATATCAATCACCTTTTGTTTTATAAGCAGGACTCTCAAAAATATGTCACTGAGTCTGTGAAGCACACACAGGCCAGCTGATACCCTGACCCACAAACCAACCCTGAGATGCAACCACCTCAAGGGACTTGGTCAGCCAAGCTAAACTGCCTCCATTTATTATTTCACACCACAAAATTAAGCTATAAATCTTAGCTTACTTTCCCTCACAGTCACATTTAAAATCATGATACTTGTATGTTTCCTAAGACTGCTCTGACTGGTAGTTAATTACATTTTTAATGTCACTGATCATTTCCAGAAGGGGTTGTTTCTGGATCTCCCCATTTCTGCATGCATTTCACACAGCACCTCCTACTTAAGAAATGTTCCCTCCGAGAGAGATAATACCATCCTGCTGGCAGTCAGGGGAAGAAGTGACCCAAGTCCTTCCAGGAATTAAACAAGCTGGGAAAGATTTTCATTTTGACCTTTAAAAAGAATCAATTGAAAATTAATTGTGATCCCAGAAGGGGACATTTGGGGAAGCACTCTGCAAAGCGAACCGGCCAGGTCTGCCTGAGGAATGGGCCCATCCAGTCGCAGCTTTCACATGAGAGGAGCAATCAGGACTGCCCATGATCGAGGGGAAAAATGGGGCTGAAATTGTGCCTTCCACTGCCTGCAAGGAGTTTTGAATGCCGGACTACCTCCAACTGCTCCACAAGACCTGTGGAAGAGACTCGTGAATGGGACAGCCCAGCATCACAGGCGAGCTGGAGCTCCGAGGGAATGACCGCAGTTCTGTAGTTCTGAGCTCTCCGTGGAGGAACAGCAATGCACATTGAAGGTGGAATCCCTCTTGAAATCCAGTTGGATTTAGTGCTGCTGATCACAACCCTTTGAGCCCAACATTTCAGCCAGTTTTCAGGCCACCTCACGGTCCACTTACCCAGACTGTACTTCATCAGTTTGTCTGTGAGGACACTATGGGAGGCTGTGTCGAACACCTTACTAAAGTAGAGGTAACACCCACTGCTCTCTCTACACCACCAAGCCTGTCAGCTCATGGTAGAAGGCTGTCAGTACGGTTCACCATGAATTCCCCGTCGTAAATCTGTGCTGACTATTCCTGATCGCATTCTTATCCTTCATTTGTGTGGAAATAGTTTCCAGGTGGATTTGCTCCACTAGCTTCCCAGGGACCGAGGTGAGGTTGACTGGCCCGTAGCTCCCCAGATCCTCCTTCTTAAAGACAGAAGTGATGATTTGCTTTTTTACAGTTATCAGGAACATCCCCCAGCCACCATAATCTTTCAAAGATAATCAAGAGTGGCCTTGCAGTGACATCAGCCAGCTCCCTCAGCACTTGAGGGTGCAGCCCATCAGTTCCCATGGCGTTACAAAAAAAATCCCTTCCCTTAATTCTGTAAATACACTAACTCAAAACACACTCCTTTCTGCAAATGCATTTCAAAGAATGCAACTGAAATGCTGTTTCCTGCATATTTAAAGGACTCTCTTGCTGTAACCACACCTAGCAGGTTTTAAACCAAGCCATTCTGCATCCACTCTCACTGCAAAAGCAACAAGCAAGGAGAGCCTTGCTCCTGTTCCTGGAATGTAAGTGCATTAAAAAAAAAAAAACACAAAACCAGAAGTGTCAGGCATATTACCTTCTCACTTCTGCAAACGTATTTTCAAAAGTATACAACCTCACCTATGTTTATACTGGAAATACAAAGCAAAATCCAAAGGAAAGGATTCCCCAGCTTAACTGTAACATTATTTTTAAAAGTCAAGTCACACAACGTGTGCACGTTTTACTGGCTTTTCAAACACAAGAAAGTAACTGACTGAACACCTCCTCCTCTTTTGAAACATGTTACTAGAGTAATTGGAACAGAAAGCTTTGGAAGGACTTTACCATGTTCTGCAACTGAAAGAGAAAGAACACAGTGGCAGAAAGTAAACAGGGCAACCAACAACCAACAGAAAGCAAACAGAGATGTAGCCACCCATTCGCACTGCTGATACTTTACTTTTATCCCCTCCTCCTGGGAAGATGGAGCGAAGCCTGGCTTTCTTGTTCTTCTCCTCAGGGGCCATGGGGAGCGGTTTTGAACTGTGGTTTAGTGCTGAAGAATCGCGATTGTTGCTGTTCATTCTCAACGGTGGGGCTGGAGGTTTCTCTTCAACATCCAGACTATCGGACATCTTCAGCAGCCCTCACAGCCTCCTGCAAAAGCAGAACAGAAAGCATGCCTGTCAAGTAAGGATGCCAAGGCTGGTGTCCTGGGGAGAGAAGAGGGCAAGAAAAGCCTTCTGGTGGAATAAGGAAGCCTCTCTATTAGAAGTTTGCTCTGAATAAGGTTACTGCTGGTTGCTATAAATAAACGCAGTGGCCAATTCCTAAAAAAGTCACTGTATTACCATTAAAATAAAGCTTTTTTAAATCCCTGTTAAAGGCTTTGCAAATTTTTATTTACAACTTTTTTCCTGTAGTTTACAATCCAAATTTTCCTCTAAAACCAGAGTTCCAAAGCAAAATTTAAATGATTTACGGAAAGTACCTGCTATCGTAGTGGATGATTTTTATGATGTAAGAAACAAGGTGCATGTTGGGAGGATATGGATAGCAAGCATTAAGATCTCTGTTCCCTCCCTGCTGTGTTTGGAGAGGGTTTAGTCCTGGGAGTGTGGAGCTTCAAAAGGAATGATCTTCCCAAAGGAAATTCATTCAGAAGTACTAATTAAAAACTTTCTTGCACATAAAAGTGCGCATATGTTTGCTTTAAAATCAATCAAAACCTAAGCAGGAAAATGATCATATCCTGAAAAAAATTTAAGTCTTCCTCTTTCTGTCCTGCTACCACACAGGTCTGTTACCGTAGGGTTGTTTGTGGCACAGCTTTGAATAACAGCACCGTAAAGTCCCAAGTATGGTGCATCAGCAAGGACTGGACACGTACAGTCTTTTGTTGACCGCTAAGAACAGAGGTACTGATCTAAGGACAAAAATACCCAGAAATTGTTACAAAGCTTTTGTAAGCTGGGAAAACACAGGGTAGGTAAGACTTTTCAAACTCCTAATCTTTCTAGTGTATCTTATAGATTAAAATTCAAGTCTGGATTAAGCAGCCGATTTAACAAGCAAGCAACGTTTGTAAAATGAGTAGTTTTAAGACTTGAAAATAGAGTATGATTTCAGACAGATCAGATGTGATGCAGGCTATACTGCATATTTTTAAAGGTTACAATCCTACAGGCACCTTGCCTTCCAACCACCTAAATCAACGTGGCTTCTGTTACGGAAGGTACGTGCAGACCACCGTGCATGCATTACAGATCTCTCCTTGTGCTGATTCAATGATAACACAAGTTATTGCAGACATCAGCTACTCTCTTAGATTTAAAATGAAGTAACTTATGTTTTTCAGCTGTGGCAGTCATAGCTTTGTTCAGAAGTATCAGCCCAACATGGTTGACTGTCACTTACACAAAGAGGTCCTGAAGCTGAACTGGTAACAGCACTGCTGCTCTCACTTTGGTCAGCTAAAGCTGCCATGGCTGAGGGTTTTGAGGGTTATTTGGTCGCTGTTTTTTTTTTTTTAAGAATAGAGGTAAACATTTTCAACCACTGCATTTATTTTGATACAGCTGGACTTTTGCCAGGATTTCCAGCTGCTATATTAATAGGGGATAATCAAATCCACATAGCCTTAACTGACAATATCTTCCACGTAAAAATTAAATGACCAACTGAAACATTTAGAGTTGTTCACTCTAGACTGTTTTTCAGGACATGGACATTTTAGCCTTTGTTACCATTTTCAAATTACTACACATAAAAAGATCATTTCTTATTTTATTACTTATGTTTTTAATTTCATCTAAATGGGATCCCAAAATGCTAGATCTGAGATTCAAAGCATCTGCCCAGTGACAAGAACAATAAATGTAACATACCATCACATCTCTGTTTTGCACCCGACTCTGGGTCCACAAAGCGGGGTTCCTGAACATCTGGATCCCCAAGGGATCCCAAGGACCCATCCTGCGGTCACACAGTTGAAAGCCCTAGCAACAGTCGGTCCCAGCCCTCTCCCTAGTACATACAGCATGAAGCGGGGATCCTGGAGATCTTGATTCACAAACATGCACTTAAAGATGTTACTGATCCCAGTTTCTCACCTCCATCAGGTCAGCAGTTTTTACGAGCACCCTACCCTTCCCAGCTGACTTCATCAACTGGTTTGTGTCAAATTACTGATCTGAGCTATTCTGGAGTATTTTGTCTGCAGCAGATTAGGGAGAACTCAAACAACTGCTCTGCTGATAGAACAATATGGTGTTCACCAGCCAAAGAAGATGTCTACTCCTAGGCTCAAGCCCTATGTGAACTGCTAGAGCCTCCCTACACCATGGAGTTGCTCACCTCCACCTGTATACTGCACCAGTAATAATGAACCACAGGCAGCCACCGACCAGGTGTTGTTCCCTATAGCTTTGCCTTCAGGCCTAGAAGCGTGGGAAAGTTCACATGCTCTTAACTTATGAAGTCCTGTATTGGAAGTAGCTGTCAGACAGAAGGATGCTTTTGTCATTTGGAAGAAATGATGATCTTTGACAGAAAACCGCGGTCCCCGGCATGTGCCCAGTTCCCACAGGAGGGCTCTGCCAACATGGCCCCCCTGTCCAGGTAGAGATCTACTGGGAGACCTGCTCTGGAGGTGGAGGAACATGGCTCACCCTCCTATGGAAGCACATATGTAGGCAAGAACGTGCTTTCTGTCACCAAGGAATAGCTATAATTGTTCCCAGGCTAGGGCTTGTGCTGATCTAACTTTCAAGTACAGACTAGCCTATTTACCTAGAGAACTAAATGCTTTTGTAGATTTGGGTCAAACAGTTAACATTACTAATCTCTGTGATTTCTATCCTGAAATGCAGAAGGTTTTTCCACTAATGAGGGGGGAAAAAAAAAAAAGCCAGTGATGAAAACTACTGTAAGGTAATAGGGAGAACTATGTGCGTGTTATCCCAGTGAAGGGAAAGTGCACGATGCCCAGGGATTTCTGCACAGGGAAGCGTGAGGGAGCTCCCAGCTTATGAAAGCCGCCGGAGACATCTGGACATGGCTCCCTGTCCCTCCAGCAATTCTCACCGACTAGGAGTTTACAGCAACAGAGGCTTTTATTTTCTCTTTAACCCACATACAAACACTTTCCCAGTGCCAAAGGCAGCCTTCACTCCCCAAGATCACTGGCGTGAGGCTGACCACAGAAGCACCAAGGCACGTTTTCAGCTTGTTATCAAAAGCAAGAGGGTTATTCTGTGAAGTCCATTATAGGGCACAAAGTTTCAGCTGTCCCTCAGAATGGGACAATTGCATCTGTCACTGTATCTATTTGTAAACAATGCCAGTTTGCTGAAATATGTCCTCCCATGGGATTTCATTCCACAAAGAATACTATTAAGGGTTTCTGGCCCAATTTGCCTATGATGTAATTATTTCCAAGATTGAAAGGAACACTATATTTTGTTCAGAGCTGTTTCAGGCTCAGTTTCAAGAACTGTACAAAGCTCTTTTATTCACTTCTAAACAGAAAAAAAAAAAAAAAAAGTGGGGGGAAGATAGCCTAAAAGGTTTAACAGTTGATATTAACTTTCTAAAGCTGGTCTAAATGAAAACTAAAGCAAACCACAAGGCGAAACACACCAAGAGATTTACAATTTATGGTTTCCCTGATCAGAGCCCATCTGCTCTTCCATTCATTCCAATTTTGAGAATTTCCATGTACCAGTGCATCAACTGCATCACGACAAAAAAAAAACATTCACTGTCCCATAAGACTTCAGATTTTAAGTGTTTTGTACTGATTCACTCCAACCTTAGCTTAGCAAAAACCTGTAAAGAACGGAGGGCCAACAAGAAGTATTTGGCTCAGAAACTTCTCAGGTTTACATAGCAGAGAAGTGTCCACAGCATGATAGCCCAAGTTAAACGCTATCCTGGGGCCAGGTTTTCCTGTCACAGTAAGAAGTCCTTGGTCCTTGCTAGTCTTGTTCTGCACAGGACGACCCCATCCAAAACCACCTTCTATCTGTTGGAAATGAATATGCCATATCACATATTCAGTCAAACAGTTAAATTCTGGTGTTTTCTCTCTCTTTTGTCTTTTTCTTTTTTTTAGTTTTTGGTTTTCTGTTTGTTGGTGGTGTTGGGTTTTTTTTTTTAATAAAAGGATATTGATAAGACTGGAAAATCAAAAGACAGGACATTAGGAAGCATTTCTTTACAGAGAAGGTGGTCAAACCCTGGAACAGGCTTCCCAGAGAGGCAGTCGATGCCCCAAGCCTGTCACCGTCCAAGAGGCACCTGGACAATGCCCTTAATAGCATGCTGTAACTTTTGGTCAGTCCTGAAGTGGTCAGGCAGTTGGACTGGACCATCATTATAGATCCCATCCAACTGAAAGAGGCTAATCTAATCTAAAAGCTAATTATCTTGATTTCTTACAAATGTGAGGTTTACTGAGAATTTTGTTCTTTGAAGGTTACCTTTCAAAACAAAATGCTTTCACTGCTCTCATCATCTGACAAACCAGCAAGCATGCAATGAAGCACTCCTAGGAAACTATTAGCAAAACAGTGCATTCAGCCTCCTGATTATAAGATGGGGTTTGTACCCTTTTTTCCATGCCCAGAAATGATAACTACTGCCGCGTTAAGAACCCTTAAGTGTTGCAGCAGCCTCAGTTTCTACCTCCCAGAAATAATCTCTGCTACCTCTTCCCCCCTTTGTACACCTCTTCTTCATACAGACACAAGTGTCTCCAACTCAAAACACACACTGGTCTAATGCGTTTTTGCTACGCCTCTGGGCAGGCTGCCAGGCAACCTTGCTCCCTGTAATGCTGTCTCAACTCAACATGCAAGGTGTTGATGACTGCATTCTTCCCTGGAGAGAAATGGTCACAAAACTTCCACGTCTTAGGTGCAAGATGAATTCCCAAGTCTCTGACTTCACGCTGACTAAGTTTCTATGCACTACTTCAAGAAGCACATAGTCCACTGGCGACCTTCTCCAAAAGAAGCTATTGAAAGCAAACCTCTTGACAAGACAAAAAAACCTTCCAATTCCCACCCATATCAGAACCGCACATTCTAGGAGAACGATGCTGAAGTAACATACTCCATGCCCAAAGGATCAC